TCATGGATGCGTTCTGCTAGTCTTCTGCCTGTTTGTCCTACGTAGTGTTTGTTACAGTCCTGGTGACTGTCTGAGCAGACTAACCTGCTAACTCTCTGAGCATGTGAACTCTTCCCAACCTAAGACAAGAATTCTTCAGAGCTAGACATATTGGATTACCTTCTGCCCTTCTCTATGGCAGATATAATAAAATAGCTATCCATGAAAAACTAACTCCTTGAGAATCTGGAGAAATATAAATATTCAGGCATGTTCTTCTTTAATGCAATTATTATAGAGATCTCCAAAAGGACCATATAGTACCAATCCTCCAACAAGTCCCAGGCAGTACAGTTGAGTTTTATACTACATTATTGTGATCAGACACCAACCAAGACATAGCAAGGAGAGTTGCCACCTATTGGCAGATGGCGGTAAAAAGACAATCGCAGCTGACCCTGTGAAATAAGTTTAATCTTGTTCTACAATTTATGTGTAAAATTTTAATTTTCTGATCTATGATCATAATAAAATATTTTGACTTTTTTTTTAATTGTATTACCTTGAGCCAACTTATTGCATTGTGGGAACAAATGGCAGAAGGGAGAACAAATTATATATAACTAAAGTCCTGCCGAAAGGCATGGCAAAAAACTAATCTCTAATATTAATTACAAAAGACTTCAAAGTTTCTCTCTTACCCCCACTCCCTACCAAAATTACCTGTGGGATCTTGTAGACATTTATACTTTCGGCCATATGGGATGAAGTATCAGATGCAATTGCTCCAATGATGGCCATGAGATTTTTCTGGCTGTCACATTTGTAGTTGGGGACAAATTTCTTGGATTTGAAGAGCAGGTCCAGAGTGGTGCGGTAGGTCATCCTTGGATTGTAGTAGCTGTCATAGATGTGGAACCCGAGAGTGATGTTAGGTAAGATCTGGGACTCCTCATTGATCTCCTTCACAGCAAAGGCCAAGGCAAGGACGTGCTGGTAGAATTTGGTTATTATGCTGCAAGTAAGTTAAATATATCCATTGAAAAAAATTTTTTACAATTCTTGTAATGTGGCATCATTTCTATATGAATAAGAAACATCTGTGAGGCATGATCATGCAGAACTTTTAGAAATTATGTGAAGCTCACTAATTGCTCTTCAAAAGACTTATTGCAGCAAAGATTCATACATTTCATGAGAAAGGCTGTAACATAATGTAAAGAAAATTATTTCTTCTCCCGCAACCAGCTACATTCGAAACACAAAGAAGTCTTAAATTGCATACAAAAACCTGCATTTAAACTCTAAAACTTTTACTTATATAAGCATTTCCGGGGATCTGGCTAAGATTGGAAAATGCATGGGAAGAAAAAAAGATCCTTACAAGGGTAAGTCATAAGGTTTTAGAGAAGGATGTTCCTTAAATTGATTTTCAGTAAAATAGTAAACAATTTGAGATACCATCCCACCAATGATGAGGTCACCAGGCTGGTACCACTCATGAGGGACAGGGAAGGCATCACTTGCAGGACAGCTCAGAGTAACTCTTTTGTTCACCAGGAAGATCAGGAGGAGCCACATCATGACTCTCTGATTATGGAGAAAACGTCTGTGTCCTCCTTCAAAGAGAAATTCTGTCAGATAAGGCAGGAAGGAGAGAATTTGTGGAAATGAACCTCATATAGACACCATTATTCCTTCCTACCTCTGTGTGGCTTTAGAAATGTTTATATTGATTGTTTTTGACTTCCTATTCCCTTCTGTACAGAACCTCTGAGATTTTGGCCTACTAGAATAATAGAGTGATTTCAGTCATTCTTAAGGGACATAATTATCAATGAACCATTGGCAACCTGGCATTTTTTTTTCCATGTAAGTGGTCAGCATCTTTCTAACTCTAGAACAGCACAAAAAGAACAGAATAAGGTCACCTGCATTGAAGCTGGTTACAAAGAAAAAGCTAGCACAAGTACTAAAAGATGCCAGTACTGTAATATCAAATATAAGCACCAGCTCACTGCAAGAAACAGACCAACTGATGTACAGCATGGCTACAGTTATACATGAATACTTTGGATGCCAAATCAACAAACATGAAAAAAGGCCAAACAGTGCACCAGCAAAATGGAAGATTAGGTTGGAAAATAAGATCATCATGCTAAGATCAGATGCAAGCAAGCTAGAA